GGTCTCCCATGGGGTGCAGGGCCCAAGCACTTGGGCCATCCTCCACTGCCTTCCCTGGCCACAGCAGAGAGCTGGCCTGGAAGAGGAGCAACCGGGACAGAATCCGGCGCCCCGACCGGGACTAGAACCCGGTGTGCCGGCGCCGCAAGGCAGGGGATTAGCCTAGTGATCCGCGGCGCTGGCTAAACTTACCTTTTAATTCTAAGTTCCTTCTCTGTTTTTCCATGATGTCTATAGCAGAGCATTATTTGAGAGCATTTATCATGTTATATTTTAATTTTTTTTTTGACAGGCAGAGTTAGACAGTGAGAGAGACAGAGTCATGTTATATTTTAATTCTTTTTTTTTTTTTTTTGACAGGCAGAGTTAGACAGTGAGAGAGACAGAGAGAGTTATAGACAATGAAAGAGAGACAGAGAGAAAGGTCTTCTTTCTGTTGGTTCACTTCCCTAATGGCCGCATGGCCGGCGCTGTGCTGATCCGAAGCCAGGAGCTGGGTGCTTCCTCCTGGTCTCCCATGTGGGTGCAGGGACCCAAGCACTTGGGCCATCCTCCACTGCACTCCTGGGCCACAGCAGAGAGCTGGACTGGAAGAGGAGCAACCAGGACAGAATCCGGCGCCCCAACTGGGACTAGAACCCGGGGTGCTGGCACCACAGGTGGAGGATTAGCCAAGTGAGTCATGGCGCTGGCCTATTTTAATTCTTTACTTATCTGTCCCACTAGATTTTATCACAGGATGAGATCATGCCTTATTCCCTGATGTACCCTATCGTGATGCCTCTTACATGTTGCCTACCAATAATTATGTATTGAATGGATGGGAGAAATCTTTTTTCAAAAAGTTTTATTTGAAAGACAGAGTTAGAGTGAGTGGGAGAGCCAGAGAGCCAGAGAGCTTCCATCTGCTGGTTCAGTCTCCACATGGCCACAATGGCCAGCACTGGGCCAGGCCTAATCTAGGGGCTTCATCTGGGTTTCCCACATGGGTGTCAGGAGCCTAGACACTTGGGCCATCTGCTGCTACTTTTCCAAGGCAATTAGTAGGGAGCTGGATGTGAAGTATGGAGCAGCCAGGACACAAAGCAGTATAGGATGCCAGCCTCACAGGTGGCAGCTTTACCTTCTACCCCACAACACTGGCCCCAGTAATTGTTTTTGTAACAGCTTCAAAATCTAGAATTTCCTAAATTTTTTTGTTTTACAATTCTCATTGACTTGCAGTAATACTGAAATGGTAAACAGGATAATTTCTCTAAAGCATTTTAGAGAAATGCTTCATTAGGCTACTTAGCCTCTTATCAAATGAAATGAGAGCTAAAATTGCTATTTTCCTTTAGTTTCACCTACCTAAATTATTGATTGGGAAAACTTGCCTCCACGGTGAATTTGAACTCGTTGGGAACAAAGTACCCAGTTTTACACAATGCCTGGAAAATGGAAGGTCCTTGATAAAAATGTACAGAGTGAAATGAGTTGGTTAATAACAAGTGCTCTATGGTTTCTTGTCCACTACACTTCTAATGAAACAGTTAATTAGTGTTTAGAGTTCTATACTTTATGGGCTACTACACTAACAGCACACTTTTTAGAAAAGGAAAAAGGAAACAGAAAAACATTATATACATGTCCTGAATCTTGGGTGTAAACTCATTAGTTGCTGGTTGATGAAGTAGAACGTATTTCTCTTCAGTGATCATCATTTGTGTAAGAATGGTGTTCATAAAGTTCATGGAAAATGTGCATTATCAAAAAACTGCAAGAATTTTTAGTTTTGGGGTACAAAAATGAACTTTTAAAATCTGTTTTCACATGAACTTTTTGATGTTCCCTTGAATTGGTTAGCCTTTGCTGCAGTAACAACCAACCTCACAGGTCTCTGACTTACAACCACTACTTATTCCCATGTGTGGGGGCTACTGGCTTTGCTGGACGTGGCTTGGCTTACTGAACTTGGTTGGGCTCCGTGGTCTAGACAGGTCTGCTCCCGAGGTCTGCTTCAAGGCCTGTGACTGAATATCAAAGAGAGGGAGGACAAGGGCAAACTCTGAAACTTCTGCTCTGATACAACACGTGTCATGTCCACGGACATTCCAGTGGCCAAAGGAAGTTACACAGCCCTGCTCAACATCATTGTAGTGAGTGGGGAAATAGACTTGGCCCACAGGAAGTGTTGTCAGGGTGGAAGGGAAAAAAATTATGAACAGATAATACCATTGACCATTATGATGTCCAAGCTGACATTTCTCAAACTATTTGGCCCTTTAGTTACTGGGGCCAACACTGTTGCCCAAGCAAGTGAAGCAGCTGCCTGCCACGCAGGCATCGATATGGGCATTGTGCCAGTCTTGGCTCATCCATGTCTGATCCAACTCCCCACCATGCACCCGGGAAAGCAGTGGAAGATGGCCCGAGTGCTTGGGCCCCTGCCACCCATGTGGGAGACCTGGACAGAGTCCCAGGCTCCCGGCCTTGGTGTATTGAGGCCATCTGAGGGAGTGAACCAGTGGATAGAAAATCTTTTTCTCTTTCAGTCTCTTCCTCTGCCATTCAAAAAGTAGATAAATGTTAAAAAAAAATAGTTACTGTTTAAAACTGTAAAACTTGGAGTTCTGTTTATTTAACCTGAGATAAAATCATGGTTATAAGGTGTTCAACAGTTTCTGTATAAAAAGGACTCAGAAAAAAAAGTAGACAGATTTGGGAATTTTAGCAAAGGAAAAAATTTAACTTTATAAATATGTTTTTAGGAGAGCAATGGTCAGTTTTCTTGTCTGTGTATGTCCACATCAGAAGAAGAGGATTTAAATTCAAGTGGACATATTGGGGTAGAGTCACCGCAAGGGACAATTTCTTGGGCAGCCGAATGAGAAAGACATGGAAGGGCAAAGTTCTGCCTAGCGGAACAATGACATCATTTATCTGCTTGAAGGCAGGGGGCTGGCCAGCTGACAGGTCCCTGCCAATCCTCTGTCACAGGACTTTGAATTTGGAAATAAAGAAGTCCTTTTAAGACAGATGGTATTAAATTCTTCTTACATCAGTAAAATGGCATTAAGAAACTCAGAAGCTAGCTTGACGCAAAACAAGAAAAGAGTAAGAAAAACAGAAAAGTACCATTTGGAGCATTTTTTTTTATTACTTCTTCAGAGAACAAACGCCACCGTTGCTTCTCATGTCGAGGTATCCATTTGTTTTATTCACACCTCCCTTCCAGAAACCTCTAATGAGGACCTACTGTGGGCCAGGCACTGTGATGGGTGCTGGTTGGGTCAGAAAGTCGACAGCTGGTATTTCAAAGACCCAACAGCACCCCCATCAGTGTCGCCCATCACCCTCACGCGTCGCCAGCATTTCATGCTGCTCCCATCCGCACGAGAACAGCCATTCCACCCGCGTGGAACTACAGTCCTGACCCTCTGCAGGCCTCTAGATGCTGCACACAGCACTGCCTCCCAGGCGATCGTGTGAAGACTCGCTTCCTCAGGCGGTTCTGAAGCGCCGTTCAAAGACCGCCGATGCTCGCCCACAGCGAGGGCTCGCCCCGCGCGCGCCGAGGGTGGGTCTGTCTCCTCGGGGGCTGTCCGCGGGGAGCGCTCGGGCGCAAGTTTCTCCTCGCGAGCTGCGGCTGCACCGCGCTGTGCGGCCTCCGGCGAGGCTCCGAGACCCGCAGCTACACCCCCCGTCCCACTCCCTTTAATGAGGGGCTGCAGCTATGATTTGAACCCCCGAAACGCCAGGAATATTTGCCACAGTAGTTGCTCTGTGGCATGATCGAGTCTTAATCTGTGTGCTAGCAACGGGATGTGTTTGCGTCTTTGTGAGAACCGATTCTCAGTAATCCTCTCTGCCTCTGGTGCGGCGCGCACCCTAGCCGGCCGGACTGAAGCAGTCAGCCCTGCTGACTCACCTAATCCTCCCAGCAGGAGGCCGGGAGCTGCTGGGCAGGGCGCCATCCTTACCCCCATTTCTTAGACTGGAAAACTGAGGCACCGAAGCGGCTAAGAATTAGCCTAGGGCCCCACGACTAGGAAAAGGCAGCATGGCTCCTTTACGTGCCTCTCCTAACGCGAACGCAGCCACCTGGGAACCTCGATTCCCGTCCCATTTGGTCTCATCCTCCCTCAGCCTCCAGCGTGATTGTCTGTCCAGCTCCTGGGATCTGCAGCCCGAGTTTGTTAACTGCTTCCCTTAATTCAGGTGCAGAACTTTTCGCAGATGCTTTGTGGTGCTCATTGGCAACACACACGCTGACAATGAACGCCGTCCGTTTGTTACTCTAGGGAGGCTCGGATTCGGGCCTAAAATGACCAGTCGCTCTCCAAGGACGGGCACTGACAGCCCCGGGGCCGGAGAGCAGGCTCTGCTCCAGCCGGGTCCAAGGACTTCTCGCGGGCACGCGTCCTCTCGGCCAAAGCCCGAGAGAGCCTGCGCTGCACCGGCGTGGCGCGGCGGGAACCGGAGAATCCGCGTTCCCCGCGGGGCTCCCGGCTCCGAGCCCGAGCGCGTCGCTGCGCGCGCGGCCAGGACAGCCCCCGCCCCGGGATGGGCGCTGCCCCTGGTCCCCTGGGCTGGAGCGCAGCGCGGGCGCACCCCCGCCGCGCGCTCTCTGGGTGACAGGGCAGGAGCCGGGGGTGTGGGGTGGGTGCGCACTCTGCTAGGGAGGAGAAGGGAGGCGGCGGAAGAGCAGGGCGTGCGCGGGGTCGAGGCCCCCCTCCCTTACCTCCTCCTCCTCCTCCTCCTCCGCCGCCGCCCACCTAGGGAGGCACTGTCGCAGCTCGCCGCTGTCTCGGAGCTCGCGGGGTCCCTGCCCTTCCCCGCCGCCGCGCCCGCCCTCCCCGGGTGCCCGACGTGCTCGTTCACCGCCACTTGGTCGGGGCGCGCCGGTGGGTTTGGCCTGCGCGCCGGCGAGGCGGGGAGTGAGTGAGCGTGAGGGGCGGGCGCGAGTGTCTGTGTGAGTCACCGGTACCTGGAGTGCGAGCGACGCAGAGCGGGCTGCGCGGAGCCCGAGCCGGAGCCGAGCGGCAGAGCCCGAGAGCGCGGCCGGTCTCAGGCGCCAGCCCCGCCGCGCACCCACCCGCGCCCCCGCCGCGCGCCCCGCGCCCCGCGCCCCGCGCGCGCTCCGTGGGCTCGCCCGCCGCCCTTCCGCCGGCCCCGAGGCGGTGCGGGGCTCGCCGGGGGATGTCACAGCGGCCCCTCGGGGCCCCCAGTCGCCGCCGCCACAGCAGCAGCCGCCGCCGCCCCCGGGAACCGCGACAATGAACCCCCAGTGCGCCCGCTGCGGAAAAGTCGTGTATCCCACGGAGAAAGTCACCTGCCTGGACAAGGTGAGCGAGCGGCCCTGGGCCAGCCCGGATCTGCCGGGCGCCGGGCTGCACCTGCTCTGAGAAGTTTTGGCACGGGCGACGGGGAGAGCCGAGCGGGCGGCGTGTGAGCGAGCTTCTGGACGCCGGGGAGGGCGCGAGAGTGTCGGGGTCCTCCGGTAGCCTCCGTGGTGTGGAACCCGCAAAGGCTGTGGTCTGGGTGCGCAGCTGTGCGGCGTGGGCAGAGCGGCTAAGGGGAGCGCGCGGCTGGGCCGGGGGGCACCGGGCTAGGCGCTCAGGGGGCCGATGAGGCGCGCCCCCTCCCGCCTCCGCTGCCGCCCCGCACCCCTCTCCCCTCCGGCATCCCCCTCTCGCCCCCGCCTGGCACCTCCCGTGCCCGCGGCGGGGAGAGGCAAATGGTAATTAATATGTCACCGGGCGGCCACTGCCGCAGTGCTAAGAATAACCCCCGCGGGAGCCCGGGCGCAGCCCCGCGAGCACGGCCCACGGGAGTCTGCCCCACCCGGGTGGGGAATTCCGAAGGAAGTGGCCTTGGCCGCGGTCCTCCGGCTCTGCCCCTTGCCCTTCCCGGGTGTTCATGGAGTTGGACAGCCTGGGAGAGACACCCGCGCGTGCGATCCCTGGTGACTGACAAAAGCAGCCAGCCCGAAGCAGCGTCCCCGTGTATTCGCGTTGGGCGAGATAAAATGCTTCCGTGGAGCCAGCCGCCGTGGAACGGAGTTGCTGCGCTTTTGTGGGAGCTGGACAGGGGCCGGGGCCAGGGGTACTTGCGTGGTCCTCCTGCCACCCCCTCGGGCCGCCTGACTTCCGGTGGACATGTTTTCTGAGATCCTGGGCACACTTTGAAGTGAATTCCTTTTCGTTTTGAAGCCGCTCCGTAGGTGTCCATTAACCGAGCTCAGAATTCTTTCTGGCTACTCGGCGGAGTGCATGCAGCCTTGGGCAGATCCTTAGCCGTCCTTCCAATCTGAGTCTGTCCGTAGCGGTGGAGACTGATTTCAAACCCAACTTTAACAGCGGCCTGCTTTATTTACTTGCCTGGAAGTCGGCAAACACACGCCCTGCACCTGCAAGCCGGCGTTTTGTGGTAGTGTTTTCACATACACAGACTGTCATGTACAGCCTGCCTTCTGCACTCGTCCTGGCCAGAGATGACCCTGTACTAACGTTTTAACTGTTGATTTTTTCCCCCAGTATTGGCATAAAGGATGCTTCCATTGTGAGGTCTGCAAGATGGCTCTCAACATGAACAACTACAAAGGCTATGAGAAGAAGCCCTATTGTAATGCGTGAGTATTGTCAATGCGCTGTACACAGCGCGACAGCATGGAAGTCAGTGGACCCGCCTGTTCTGGACAGTTGTCTGCCTGTGTCACCCAGGTGTGGCAGTGGCCAGTTATCAGGGGCCATTGCTTTGGTGAAGGTCGCTGCCTTTATGTCATCCTCTTCTGTAGGGTGGTCTGTGTGTGTCTTCCACTGGGCAGGGTTTTGAGGCTCACAGTGTCACGGAGTTAGGGACATTCATTTGAAGCTGTAGAACTTACCCACTGAAGAACGTGTGGGCTCTGACGTGTGTCAGGTAGATTTCCATTTTAATCATATGTCAATTTCCATTTTAATAACAGGATGTTGCCATATCGCAGTTTTGTTTCTGAACCTAGTTGCTAGGGAAAGGAGTCTCTGGCGCTCTGTCTTAGGTGGGAACACTGCAGATACTGGAGCTTAAACAGGAAACCAAAGGCTTGAGAGACACTGGTATTCCTGGCTGCTTAGTGGTGGGTCTGTGGTAATGGACCTACTGTAGTAGGCTGGGTGCTTTCTCCTGGTACTAGTAGGTAAGGATTGGAGAAGGCAAGCTTCCAGCCTATAGTGGCAGTTCGCTTATCGTGTGGCAGGCCCTGTCCTAAGCACGTTATGCACGTTGCCTCATTCAGTCTTCATAACCACTCTCTGGGTTGGGGGGCCACTATTATTACTCCCATTTGGCAGATAAAGAAATTGAAGCATTGCAGGGGAAGCCTCAGGATGCGGCTCGGATCACTCCTGGAGGAGCAAGAGGATCCAGCTTGGCCAGTCTGTCCAAGTGGCTGCCTGAGGGTTGTGCTTCTCTGTTCCCCTGAGTAGTGCTCCCTCCCCCGCACCTCCCTCCTCCCTCCCTTCCTCCCTCCCTGCCTCCTCCATGCTGTTTTCAGCTGTGGGCTCTTGGCCCTGATTGCTGAGCCATCTTCCCAGTTCCCCTGTGGACTGGACTGGCCTGCGGGCAGCGGAACACCTGTGGACCCCTGGCCTTTTGGCTGGAATGGTGCCAGGGCCTCGGCTTCTGGAGCAGGAGGGTCAGTCTCCGATGTGTGCTCACCACGTACGGTGACCCCGATGCCATCCACGGTCCATCTGGGGCAAGCCAATGCAAGGTGCTCCTACCTGTGTGGTGAAGAATATAAAGCACTTCCTAGTCTTTGTGTTTCTTCTGATCCTAGCTTAGTGTTTATAGGTGGACCAGCAACTTTTAGAGGAATCAGAAAATAGGGGCATTGAGCAGAACTCAGGACTTTCATAGGTGAAGCACGCAGATACTCCCCAAAGCTTTTAGGGAGATAACGTGAAGCAAAAATAAAGTTTCAGTGTCCTGGTCTCCTGCTTCCCTTAAGAAGAGGTATAAATGACTGGTCAAAGATCAAAGGCACCTGCAGTAGGAAGGGAAAGGGTCCCTGTGTCCATAAACAGAATTGTCCTTTGGTTAAAGGAAAGCAAACCTTTCTTCTGCCTGATTTGATCTGGCTTTATGGGCCACATCAGGCTTTTTTACAGCTCAGTCCCCTGGAGTTTAACCCTAGTGATAACAGTGCCTTTGGGTGCCCCTGGTAGGCCTGGAGGGGTTGGGAGAAAAAGAGGAAAGGGAGAGGGAGAAAGGGACAGGGGTTGATAATTCCAGTAAGGCTAGCCAGCTAGGCTGAGCAGTGAATTGAATGAGGGAGGCTGGTGTGCCTGGGAGGCAGCAGATGATGGCTCAAGTATTTGGGTTCTTGCCACCCACATGGGAGACACCAACTGAGTTCTTGGATCCTGGCTTGAGCCTTGGCTGTTGTGGCTATTTGGGATGTGAACTAGTAGATGGAAGAGTTCTCTTTATGCCTCTCCCTGTTTCTTCCTGTCTGTATTTCAAACAAGCAGATCAAAAAAAAAAAAAAAAAAAAAAAAAAAAAAAAAAAAAAAAAAACCAAACAAAAGGACAGAAAAAGAGACAAAGTGGAGCCATTGATTATATTGGGCCACTTGAAAATTCAGAGCCTTTTGCTTAGGTCAAGTTCAGTCCAGTTGCACAAGAGTGTCCAATTCTGCAGTATGTCAGGGATGAGTCAGAAAGGACTGATTTGCACTCTGACTTCACAGTGAAGTAGTACCCAAAGATACTGAGATTTGGGCCTTCAAACCAAAAGACTTTATAGAGAAGAAACATCCTCTTGTATTGCTTTATAGGGCTGAGTTTTAAATTTTAATACTTTTAGGTATCTTTAAATCGAATATTAACAGATTTTTCTGTCTAAAATTCAGTACTATATTATTAGTTTTAAGTCAGATTTTGGGGTAGCTCATCAGATTTTTTTTTTCTCCATGTTGTACCTGCTTGCTATCCAGCAGCTAAAAAGAAGACAGGAATCCATCCTTAGTGGGTGAATGAGTAGAGAACTGATGTTTTAGATTTGTTTAATTTAGCTGTAAGTTCAGGTCATGGGTGCAGAAATTGAGGCCTGGCAAGCTGCGGCTCTGTCAGCCGTGGGGTTCCAGGCTGCAAGCCCCGGTTGTTCTCAGCTCTGTGTTTTGAAGGGCACATGCCATGCTGTTGAGCTCCCAGGACAGAGTGGCTTGCCCTCTGGGGATCCGGACACGTCTGCTCTGACTCAGGTGGTGTCAATCAGCAGGTCCCTGTGGTCGTGGCCGAGGGCTGCCATCATTTCTCTGGGTCAGTGGTGGAAAATTGATTCTCTGATGCCTACTGCGACCAGACGATGACACATTCACCGTCAGTGGAAAGCCACATATTATCTGTAGGTCATTTGGCTCAGGAGGCAATGTACATACATGCCTCAGTGAAAATGGCTCTTCTCTCTCTTCTCCTGGTCACCATTTATGATAAAAAGATTTCAGACACATGGAGCTGTTGAAGGAGTCATGCAATTGTCCCCTGGTATCTTCTGGGGCTCAGTTTCAGGCCCCAAGTACCCAAATCTGTGGGTTTGCATGTAACCTGTACACATACTCCTATATATTCGGAGTCATTTCTGTGTTACTTGTAATACCCAATACAACGTAAATGCCCTGTAAATAGTTGTTATCCTGCATTGTTTAGAGAATAGGGATGAGAAGTCTATACATGTTCAGTACGGATTTTTTTTTCTGAATATTTTTGATCTGCAGCTGGTTAAATCTGGATACAGAACCCCTGGATTCAGAGAGGTGACTGTGAAGGGAACATATGGATACCCTCCACCAAGATTCAGCTGTTAACATTTTGCCCTATTTGCTTAATATTTCTATCTCCCAATTGATCATATATACGTATTATTTCTGTTGAGCCATTTGTCATTTTTATACATCAAGTGAGTTTTAAACACTGACATTTTGTCTCTAAAAACTATATCATATATGCACCAAGAATAAGGACATATTCTTAAAGAATCGCAGAGTAAGCTGGCGTTGTGGCACAGTGGGTTAAGCCACCACCTGTGATATTGGCATCCCATACCGGTGCTGGTTTGGGTCCCCTCTACTCCCCTTTCAATCCTGCTCCCTGCTAATGACCCCGGCAAAGCACCAGAAGATTGCCCAAACGCCTGGGTTCCTGCCACCCACGTGGGAAACCTGGATAGAGTTCCAGGCTCTTGGCTTGGGCTTGGCCCAGCTCCGGCCCTTGCTATTGGTGCCATTTGAGGAGTGAACCAGCAGGTGAAAGATTTGTCTCCCACCGGCCCTACCTTGTGACTCTGCCTTTCAAATAAATAAGTCTTCAGAAAAAGAGAACCACAGAGCCATTATCACACCTAAGAAAATTAACAAAAGTTTTATAATATCCAACATGCTGTCAATGCTTATCCTCCACTGTCCTAAGGACGTCTTATATAGCTGTTTTTTTAAGCCAGTATCTAGTCAAGATTCCTATTTTACATTTAGTTATTATAAAAATGACAACTTTTCTTGGCCATTGGAAGTTATTCAATTTCCACTGTCGTTTCTATTGATTTATGTAATTTCTCTGAGTTTTCAGGAAGGAGACTTAAGCAGCATTTCTTGGGGGAAATAACATACATAATTAACTTAAGAACCTTTAGGAGAAATATTAAGAATATGTTTAAAAATTTGAAAGCATGCCCATGGACATTTAGAATTTACTTTGTGAAAACATAAAGGCTTCTTATTTTAATCGATACCTGAGGGCATTTTTTAATGGAATAAAGTAGTGAGTACTTCATCGGTTTAACTATGTTGCTTGTTTATATTCTCATGTGTTTAGAGAAGAAACAGCATTCTGTTTGATTTCATGCAGAGGAGAACATGTATAAGATGTCATGTACATGATATTTAAATTTTGATCTTTTGATAGAATGATCAAAGTATAGTCTACACATTAGATGTAAGACTGAGCCTAATACACATTGAGTTCCTAACGCAGCAGTGCACGCTATTAAAATATTTAAAAACAAACTGGTCTGCTTGAGTACGTGCCATGTTTTCATAAGCCTTTATGTTTCATAAGCAGGCAGTGGATTCTTTAGCACATTCAGAATTTTTTTCATCGTGGAACTTGCAAAGCAAAGAGGACTAAGCAATATTTTTGTTGCTAAGAGGTGCTGAGAAAATAACACGAGATGATTAAACAAAAACTGTAGCTCATATTTATATGTGAATTCATATGCCAAATTAAACTATAAACATTTTGCTACCCAGTAAGCCCCACAGAGGCTATCAATCCCAAGGCCATTTGTCAAATCCATTATTTCATTTGTTGTGTGTAGAAGTCAAATTTGCATTTACTGTGTGTTTGTAACACATGCATCAGTCCTCGGAATTTTTTGAGTGATATTGCCACTGAAAGGTAGCAATGCCATGGACTGGCCAGTTATTGCGCTGTCACCAAATGTCAAGTTTTATGAGGTCTAGGGAGGGGCTAAGTGCAATAGTTTAATAGAACCTTGCCAATAATTTCTCTGAGGCACCCCCTTTGCAGACAGTTTCTGGGGCTGACAATTTGTCCTGACCTGTTCCCATGTAATGTGTCTTGTATCTAGGTCAA